TGCGGTTCTGAAACCAGAACTTAAACAGAGCTAATCACCATATCCAATTTTCCCTAAATTCTAATTCCAATGTAAATTATAATCTAAATTTTGATTCACACCCAATTAACTATATGACTAAAAAAATCTAGAAACTAAAGACTCAAAATTTACCCAAAATTTGGGTTCTTACTTGCACAGTCAGCGATGAGACGACCTCAGATGATGATGATGATAATGGGGGAAGAAACCAGTGGCCTCACCACTCTATGAGGGAGGAGCCACTGATCGAGCTTCTGTGGGTGATGGGTCTTAGGCGACGGTGACGAACAAGTAGGTGAATCGGTGCTCCGGTTGCCAGCAAACGCAAGGAGGAGCGGCGGAGGAGAGTTGTTCCGTGGTTAGTGGAGCGACGATGAGAGAAGGAGGGAAGAGGAGCAGCGGAGAGGGAGAGGGAGAGGGAAAGGGGGAAAGGCACTGGTTTGTTTAGGATTTGGTTTGAAACAAAATACTATATATGAGTGGTCATTTTACACAATTGGCGACTAAACATTTTGGTCGCCAATTAATTTTATAAATCCCTCCAAAATTTGAAATGTCTCCCTCCAAATATTTTAGTTTGGCGACTAAAATATTTGTCTCTGAAAATAAATTTTTGGCGACCAAACTTTTGGTTGCCAAAGATAAAAAATAATTTTTTATTTTACATTCGGCAACTAAATGGTTTTAGTAGCCAAAACTCAATATATGGCGACTAAAATATTTTGTCTCTAAAAATATTTTTTTGGCAACCAAACTTTTGGTCACCAAAGATAAAAAATAATTTTTTATTTTACATTTGGCGACTAAATGGTTTTAGTAGCCAAAACTCAATATACGATGACTAAAATATTTTTTTGTCGCTGAAAATATATTTTTGGCGACCAAAAGATAAAAATAATTTTTTATTTTACATTCGGCAACTGAATGGTTTTAATAGTCAAAACTCAATATACAGCAACTAAAATATTTTTTTGTCGTGAATTCTGGTATTTTTAGCTACTAAATTTTGTTTTAGTTGCCAATAGTCAATATACCCCAACTAAAAAAAATTTAATAACTAAATATTGTACTTTTGCTGGCTAAAAAAAATTTTAGTTACCAATTCCACTACTTTTGGTGACTAAATTTTTTTTAGTCACCGAAGGTGCATTTGGTAGTAATGATAGTGCTCGAGTTGATGCACTCTGCCAGTATTATGCCAATTAATTGGCATGCATAACTACATTAAGGAAAGGGGAACAATATGGATATGTTTCTAAAATATTTTGGGTAGCTTTAGATGCAGTCAGCCACCAAAAAATATCTTTGATTCTGCATTTAGAAAAAAAAAATATTATTTTTTATGGTTATTTTAATTCATGAATGTTATGATCGATTTAATATATATATAATATATATATATATTAATGTAATCTCATTCAATTGAATAAAAAATCAAAAATGATTAGGAGCTCTAATAAAGGAGCTCTAGGAAACTTTAATGGGGGTGAGCTCCACTGTGATGTGGTGTTTTGGCCTTGCTTCTTTTTTTCTTTTTTTTTGATTTTCCACGTAACTAGAGTTGGGTTTAGAGTCCCAACTCTAGAGCTCTCGATCACTGCTTATAAAAAAAATATACAAAATAAAATTTCAAACTCAATATGATATTTTTTATTTGCAATTGCAATAATGTAATCTTTTTATTTATTATTTGTAATCAATCTACTAAACCAAAATAAAAAAGTTGCACAATCACATTTTAACATTCGATGAAAATACACGGACATCTTCTAACATATTACATACAATTTGACATTTGGAAATTACTTTAACATTTAGTTAAATCATAAATACTCCTGTCACTTAGCAAGAATACACGAACACTAACATTTTGTGAAAAGATCATAGGCACGTCATCAACTTAAATAAATGTGCTAATATTAATTAAATTATTTATGTGTATTCCTATATTCTATATATACATATGCATACATACATATAAAAATATGGATAAATTACAAATACAACTAAGATTTAATAAAAATATAATTTTTTTTCACATTTAAGAAATTACATCCCCGTGTTGGGGTTTTCAATCACATAACAAATGGTCCCCTTTTGTACTTGTAATTTTCAAAACATAAAGGGAAATCTATATTTTTGACAAAACAAAGGAGGTGTATTTGTAATTTACTCTTAAATTATTTTAAAAATATATTGTGACATTTATAATGTAAAATAATAGTTTTAATTATATCATACTATAAAAATATAACTTAAAATGATGAGTTTTAATTCAAATTATTTTTTTTATGTGCCCACCTATATATATAAACATTCTATTGTGTTTACTTTAATAGATTAATAAATAAAAATATTATATTACTTCAAATATTTTGCTCCCGCAAACAGCATTGTGAGAAAAGAAATTGGGAGAAAAAACAATTCAAGTAAAACGGCGTAGTTTAAGGAACGGCAAATCAATGAAAAACAAGTACACAAGCTCCAATTTCCCCATAATATTTTACAAAAAAAAAAAAATATATTTTTCTTCAAAATTGATTTTACACAAAAAAATATATTTTCTTTTTCAACATTTAACTAACATTTGAAATAAAAATATTTTATTATCTAAAAAAAAATTGATTCAATAAAATGTCATTAACAAATTTTTAGTGAAATAAGATATTGGAGTATTTGAAAATGCTAGATGTGTTAAAAATGTACTGAGTTAACTTTGTAAGAACTAACTTGCAGAATTTTTAAAAGTAAGTCATTTTAAAAAAATAATGCATAAATATTTTCCTTAAATTTTTTTTTTTTGCTTTTTGTTCAACCAAATAATAAAAAATGAGTAAAATATTTTTGACAAAAATATTTTACGTCAAAACAAATAAAACTTAAAGAAAAACGGACTTCATTTTACCTAGTTTCAAATGTCGCTCGTTGGGACAGACCAAGGACTATTAATGTAACAGGATAATTAGTTAGTGTTTGACGTGTTAAAATAACACATGCCATTTTTACACATCATTTTATTTGGGTCACAATCATCTTATTTGGTCACATCACAATCATCATATCACTTCAATCATCTTCACTTATTTAAATCATTCTAAATCCCCTTATTATAGGATAAATCACACACACACCCCATAAGGTTTAGAAAATTACAAATACCCATTATTAAAAAAAAATTAATAAAATTAACTGAAAAAATAAAAATTCCTAACGGCTCTATTATACAATAATAAAATTACTTGAATTATTAATTGAAATAAATTTCGGATATCATTAAAGTCACATTTAGGAATAAGCTATTTTAGTAATTTTTTAACTCTTTACGAAAAGATGTGCAAAAAAATAAACAGAGTGATGTGACAACTTATAGTAATTTTTTAATTTTTTAGCTAAAATATATAGTTGACAAACGAAGCCTAAAAACTGCTAATCGACTAAATAATTTATTAATAAAAAGATATTTGTTATGAAATTAGAAACTCCAAAATCACGTGGGCAAATCGTAATTTAAACAAGCTTCAAAGAATTTATTTGTAATTTACCCATTATTTTTTGGAATATTTACCAATAAGTCCCATCTCACAAACAAGTACTCCAATAAGTCTCAAGTTTTTTCTATTGATCTGTTAAGTCCTATTAGTGGAGAGTTTCTTTCCGTGTAGTCCTATTTTCGATTTTGGTGGTATTTTGGTGGCTGACTATATCATTTTATTAATATAGTAGGTATAATGTGACACTCCAATGTGGCAGGTATTTATGTGACACTCCAATGTTGCAGATATGAATGTGACACTCCAACGTGCCCGGTATAATGTGACACTCCAAAAAAACTAAAAATTCCCTTATGTACTTTTCTCAAATGTAACGTGACGAGTATGATGTGACACTCTAAATCTTTTACTCAAAAAAATTAAAAACTTAGTGTACTTTTCTTAAAGGTGACAACGTGATGGGTATAATGTGACACTCCAAAAAAATTAAAAACTTCTTAGTGTACTTTTCTCAAATGTGACAACATGGTGGGTATAATATGACACTCCAAAGAAATTAAAAACTCTTTAGTGCATTTTTTTTCAAATGTGACGGCGTAGCGGATACGATGTGACACTCCAAAAAAAATTAAAAATTTATTAGTGTACTTTTTTCTAAATATGACAACGTGACCCAAATGTGACAACGCAATGAATATAATGTGACACTCCAAAAAAACTAAAAACTTATTAGTATACTCTTTTCCATATGTGACAACATGACAGATATGATATGACACTCGAAAAAAATTATAAACTCATTAGTGTATATTTTTACATTTTTCATACATGATATTCATGTGGTATTACTTTAAATGGCATATACACTTTAAGATGACAATTCCAATGTACCCAAAAAATAAAAAATAAAACACTTTTAAGGTGACCACATGGGCATATACATGTGTAATTTTGAAATGCAAGGGGTCAGAGTGAATTAACCAATAGTTTCAAAGGAATTAACCACCTTAATAATGAATAGAAATTAGTTAAGTATTGGATATTAATAGGAGGGAAAAAAAATGCACTTCACAACATTATGGGAGCTAGAAATATTGGGTCAGGAATTCAATGTACACATAAGCCATCACTTTTCTTTACAAGATGTGAATATAGAACATATAAATCAATTATGTGGTGCAGCAGAATCAACATTTTAGCTAAAAGTGCAGAGGCCAATAAGGAAAATGAGAAATTGGGTGTCCCATACTAGGTTGACAATTGAAAATCATAAGACATTGAATGCAGAAAACCTACATGGCAAACAGAATCTAAATTCATTAACCATCAATATTGCAACATCCCTAGTGCCAAAAAATGTAGAATGATAGTTAGGTGGTAAAGGAATCACACGCAAGGAATTGTTTAGTTCTTTATGATGTAAAGTAAGAAAAAAAGTACCTAAAGATATAGTTCTTTATGATGCAAAGTAACATACCCAACATAAAGCGATCTTTGGCAGCATCAAAATAGAAATCTGATAAATCAACAATTGCAAACCATTGAATGATCTGAAAAGGGGAAAAATAAATGAAAAATATGCCATACAAAAGAGCAAACTAAATTTTTTTCAAATCTCCAATTGAATTAAGTCTTAATAGAAATGAAATAAGAGAATGAATGTAGAAATAGCCATGCAAAAAGGACAGAGAAATATATTAACAACCCTAGAAGTTCAAAATTATAGGGAAGTTCAGAAAATAGAAGAATGGAAGCAGAGGAGAAATAAAGATTGAGGACCAAATACTACCTAAGAGTGAATATTTTCGTTATTTAGGATCGATTATCAGAATGGCTAGGAAGATTCGAGCAGATGTGATTCATAGAATTAAGATGGGGTGACTTAAGTAGAGGAGTGCATCTGGGGTACTATACGATAAACAAGTATCCACTAGATTAAAAGAGAATTTCTATAAAATGGCTATTAAACCAGCGATGCTGTATGTGATGGAATGTTGGGCAACTAAGAAACAACATGCAGATGAGTGTTGCTGAGATGAGGATGCTTAGATAGATGTGTGGCAAGACTAGAAGACGGAATGTTGGGCAACTAAGAAACAACATGCAGTGAGTGTTGCTGAGATGAGGATGCTTAGATAGATGTGTGGCAAGACTAGAAGACGGAATGTTGGGCAACTAAGAAATAACATGTAGATAAGATGAGTGTTGCTAAGATGAGGATGCTTAAGTGGATGTGTGGCAAAACTAGAAAAGACAGAGTTAGGAATGATTATATTCGAGAATGGGTAGAAGTAGTACCGATAGAAGATTAGTTGAGGGAGAATAGATTAAAATGGTTTGGTCATATACAGCAGAGATTAACAGGGACAGTAGTGAAGACATGCGATATAGTGACGGTAGATGGAAATGTTAGGGGAAGGGGCAGACCTAGACTAACGTAAACTAGTGTAGTAAATAGAGATATGAATCTCCTTAATTTGACTAATGATATGGCCTTGGATAGGGTCGAATGGAGAAGAAAGATTCATGTAGTCGACCCCATTTGATGGGACTTATGACTTGATTTGGTTTGGTTTGGTTTTCTGAAAATAGAAGAATTACAAGATCCTATATCAGATTCTGATTGTTCTTCTGGTACTGGTTGATCCAAATTGATATAACATGTCAAAAAATGTGTGGTTTAGGGGTGAAGAAGGGTTGGGGATCACAAGTTCACAACCATACAACCTAGATTGCGTAATAGAATTGGGATCTAGGGGCACCACAAGTCAATTTGAGGTCATGAACTCTTGGAGGTAAACCATGCCTTCTAATGCCAAGCCGTCAAATGAAACATTCAAAGATGACCTTCCAGCATAGGAGCCATGTTATAAGGGAAAATAAAGTGAGTCTGTTCTTTGAGACATAGATTCCACATAAAATTCACTGTTGAGTGAATGTATCACACAGGTTATAAGCATCAAAGAACAGGCATAGATACCACATTAAAGAAAAAGATTGGTGATCCAGGACTTCTTTTAGCTTTCCATGGATCCATGGATAGGTCAATTCCGAAAGTGCATATTGGTTTAGAGCAGTAGTGCAAAGTTTAAGCAGAAGTTTGACACTAACATAAATAGTTTTTAGTTGCAATAAGTGAGCTTGTACTTTTTCTGTCCTGTTCATGCCCAGATCTTGTTTTCATGGTTCCCTTCAAAGATCCTCTTTCACTCTCTCCTCCTTTGATATGATATATAACTCACTGTCAACCAGATCAAGAAATACGTACCTGGAAAATTTTGAAGAATTGATAATTTTTGAAGCTGTCTTTGATGTTCTGTACAACATTTTCAAGCTGAAACAGCGCATGCTGATCAATCATGGGAAGATCACTATATGGAACAACATTATCACCCTGCAAATAAAGAATATAAAATGAGAAAAAAGCCACAGAAAGAGATCAAAACAATATTCTCATTTATATCAGTTCTGACAACCAAGAAGCAATAAAAATTTTAAATGAAGAGCCAGAAAATGGGGAACTATAATGCAATATGAGCATGTGTGTGTATGTGTGTGTGAGAGAGAGAGAGATCAACAAATATATATCTATCAATGGAGATACGGTTATTTGAAGGTGACCACTGACCAGCAATAAACAGTAAGTGGCTTCAGGGAAAGAAAAAAAAATTTAAATAGGACAAAAATGAGACTCTTTTCATCCAAGAGATAGCCTGAACCCAATGGCTATGGTTCTCAAAAAACATGAGCATACCTCCCAATCATGAAGATTTGCCAAAAGAAATCATGATGTTCCTTACATCTTCCTATATATGTCAGACATTTGGCGGAGGACTTGAGGCCCAATCAGTACGTCGCAAGTATAATCTACACTTGAAATCCAGAGTCTCAGGACATCAGCTCCATAGGAAGGTGCTTCCTACAAAGGCAAAATAGAAACTCCATTGATCATTCAACAAATGAAAAGATGTGTTTGAAATATTTTAACCAGTGACTAACCCCTAGGTTTTTGCCTCCTCCAATCACGGTAATTGGATCTACAACATTGCCCAAAGATTTTCTCATCTTCAACCTCTCTCATCCAGCCCAAATCCATGCATTATCACACAGAAATATGGTGCCTTCCCTGCAAAATGGTAATAGAATGTCAAAAACCCATGTGGCATCTTAGAACCTTAATATTGCAAAGACCTATAAGTAATTAATAAAATATTTGCACAGAAAAACAACCTTTGGAACCATTGCAAGCTATAGAAATTGTTATTTTTATTTCTAAAAATTGATGAGTAAAACTTTTGGAGAAAAAGGAGGCCAGCACAAGCACCAAATCAACTGAACAAATCTAGACTCCCATTATTTTTCTCTTCCCTTCCAAACCTAGTTAACCGTCAATGTCGATTCCTCCTTCTCCCCACCAAAGAAGCATTTCTTCTCAAAGAGCCAAGGCCTCTAAATAATTCATGCTGCACTCTTACTTCTTCAAGCTACCTTTTATTTATTTTTCCTTATTTCAAAAGCTTTCTCCAAAGCCACTTACTCATGAGTACTTGATTCATTTGGCACAGTGACCCACATAACATTAGCTTTTTCATTTTTTTTAATAAAAATAAAGAAGCATTACAGTTTGGTCCCCACCAACATGGGTTATGCAAAGAATAAAAAAGCATCATATCTGCTAGTACAACCAATGCGGAGCCTTCTAAAACAGCACAAGATTACTGAACATGGAGGACATGAGCGCAGAGGGGATCTTAAATGGAGAGAGAAAGAGTGGCAGTAAAGTCTTCTAAGCATGTCGGACGGGAAAGGTTACTATTGGATTGCTTGCATAGAGGTGGATACCCCTTCTCATAGAAGGGATGGGCTTGGAGGCCAGCTCACCTGGACACAACATCGCAAGCTCAAGGAGAAGTGTCTTGTGCACCTTGGCCTGACAAAGTGGATGTTGCAACTATCAACAAAGCTGTAATTCTCAGTGTTCAGCAGTAGCAACGGGTAGGTGGCTGTGCTCAAAGCAAGGAGGAGCATAGGGAACATCACTTGTCTTGCTCAAAAACTGGTATGTCTTCTTGTGAAAGCCTTTCTATAATATTGGTAAAGGTGTAGGTCTCCTTGAGAGAGGAGGGGACAAGGCATCTTGACGAAGCGAAGCCTCAACTCCAGGCTCCAAGCCACATGTACTTGATGATCCCAAGGTGGGGGTCATAGGTGGTTTGAGTTTCCCCAAGACTGAGGCACCAACCGGAAGGGGTTCCTAGGCCTTGCTCTTGACCTAGGCTGGTGTAGAAAGTACAAATATTAGGATGCCCTTTTGTGAAGTATAGAGGATGTGTGCTCAGTTGAGGAGTCGTCAACCGAGTGAGGAAAGATCAAGCACTAGACAACCCATTGAGAGGGGCACATTTGACAGGAAAGTGAGTGTGCCTAACACTTGGAGATACTTGGAGGGATTATAGATAGCTCAGTCAGAGGTTTGTTTGGCCCAACCAATCAGTGCCCTGAGCATGATCATCAAGCTGTATCAAGAGATGCCTTAGGCACGGTCCCTTTAGAAATCGACATATTTCGGAAATTATTTCCCCTTCAAGATGAGTTACATATAATTTAGGTAGAGATGGGAACTTTGATTTACAGAGATCACCCGTCAGGAATACACAAAATTTTGCACCAGTAAATTTATCAACCAACACTCAATTCGTTAAGAATGCTAGAAACAACATAATGATATTATGTTGAACTACAAATAATTCCATGTAGGGCAATAAAGAGCATATTCAGATGATCATTACCTTTTGTAGTGATACTTGTTAATAAAGAACTTTGGAACCAACCACGATGCTGATCTGTACCTTCAAGATATAAATCTGCAGGAAAACTAAGCCCACTTCTTTTCTCCAACACAGCAGCCCAAGAAGAGCCTAAAGTAGGAAGTGGCTTCAGGGAAAGAAAAAAAAAATTAAATAGGACAAAAATGAGACTCTTTTCATCCAAGAGATAGCCTGAACCCAATGGCTATGGTTCTCAGAAAACATGAGCATACCTCCCAATCATGAAGATTTGCTAAAAGAAATCATAATGTTCCTCACATCTTCCTATATATGTCAGACATTTGGCGGAGGACTTGAGGCCCAATCAGCACATCGCTAGTATAATCTACACTTGAAACCCAGAGTCTCAGGACATCAGCTCCATAGGAAGGTGCTTCCTGCAAAGGCAAAATAGAAACTCCATTGATCATTCAACAAATGAAAAGATGTGTTTGAAATATTTTAACCAGTGACTAACCCCTGGGTTTTTGCCTCCTCCAATCACGGTAATTGGATCTACAACATTACCCAAAGATTTTCTCATCTTCAACCTCTCTCATCCAGCCCAAATCCATGCATTATCACACAGAAATATGGTGCCTTCCCTGCAAAATGGTAATAGAATGTCAAAAACCCATGTGGCATCTTAGAACCTTAATATTGCAAAGACCTATAAGTAATTAATAAAATATTTGTACAGAAAAACAACCTTTGGAACCATTGCAAGCTATAGAAATTGTTATTTTTATTTCTAAAAATTGATGAGTAAAACTTTTGGAGAAAAAGGAGGCCAGCACAAGCACCAAATCAACTGAACAAATCTAGACTCCATTATTTTTCTCTTCCCTTCCAAACCTAGTTAACCGTCAACGTCGATTCCTTCTCCCCGCCAAAGAAGCATTTCTTCTCGAAGGGCCAAGGCCTCTAAATAATTCATGCTGCACTCTTACTTCTTCAAGCTACCTTTTATTTATTTTTCCTTATTTCAAAAGCTTTCTCCGAAACCACTTACTCACGAGTACTTGATTCATTTGGCACAGTGACCCACATAACATTAGCTTTTTCATTTTTTTTAATAAAAATAAAGAAGCATTACAGTTTGGTCCCCACCAACATGGGTTATGCAAAGAATAAAAAAGCATCATATCTGCTAGTACAACCAATGCGGAGCCTTCTAAAA